TAATACAGGATAGTCAGTTATATCCATGGATTAGTCTGCAGTCACTTAAAAAAGCCGTCTCCACACTGAGGCTGCCACAAGAGAAAATAAGGATGCTTCTAATTCTGCCAGCATAATTGCCTGATTATAATGAGCTTCTCTCTCTCTCTCTCCCTCTCTCTCTCTCTCCTCCTGCTCTGCCCTCATTTCTCAGTGTCTGTTACCACACACACACACACACACACACACACACACACACACACACACACGCCTGATTCTGATATAAATCAGTCTTCAATTGATTAGGGAAAAACAATCTGCATTAATATCTCTGGCTGCTGGAATGGCGCCGAGCTGTGTAACTAGTTTGGTGAAACCTAGTATTTCCCTGTGACTTTACTACACAACAGAGATTTTGAAATGAAAATTAAATATACAATAAAACTACAAAATACTACAAAATGAAATGAGATGAGACCAAATGCAGACAATGAACAGATTTTGTACATGTATACATGTGTATGTGTCGATCAAGTCATAACAAGGCCCATTACCTTAAGCTACTTTCAGCATGGAATATTAATATCCTAAATCAATATCGATAGAGATATTCAAGTTTTTACTCATGTTTGACGCTGAACAGATTTGTCCTCATGGTTTTAATTATGATTTCATATTGAGATTCTTTTATTACGAGTCAGCATCACCTACACAGCTTCAAATTAATTGCATTCCCGTAATGTTTCCTTTATATTCACATGAGCATAGAGCAACCGCATTACAGCACATTTGTATGGTGATATATTATTTAATTATTAATATTATTGCTATTATATTGACTTTAACCTTATCCAAAATCTACTGCTTCACTTCGCAAATTAACAACAGCTTTTACGTATTAAAAAGGATTTCACATCAAAACGAGATGGATGTTGGTGTGTATGTGCTTATATAACATAATCATAATCAAAAATCATAAATCAATATTCAGAATAGGTGTATAACTAATTTCTAGTTCAAAAATAATAAAATATAATCTGTCACAAAAACACAACAGTAACCCCTGTAAGCATAAAGTATAAAGCTTAAAGTATCTCTGCAATGTGAAACACATAATTTACAGAAGAGATATGTACTTCCCTGTACAAACAAATCAGAGGAGAAAGTATATGTTGCAGGTTACATATTGTAAAACAGAATATATTCATACAAACTTTTGGAGTAGTTGTTATTCTGTCTGCGATGTTTTCAGTTTGGCGATAGCATACATTGACTTGTTCCATCAGGATTTGTTCTTCCATCCTTCTAAAGCTGTCTAAACCCAGATGCAGGCTAAATGAGCATGCCCACTCATGAATGCTTCTACTTAATTATAATCCCTGATGAAAAAGAAAAAAAAAAACCCTGAAGGAGAAGCCTAAAGACGGCCATGTATTTGGGTAATAACGGACACGTTTATTTCCATAGAAACGATAAACTATATGTGTTCAAGTGTATATGAATGTTATTAATTGGAATGGAGGATTTTTCTATTTTCCCTGCATCAACACTAAAGATGAAGGCATTTGGCTTGTGCTTCAATTTAATTTACAGAAATTACGCTTGATATATTGAACAGGGACCTTGAAAGGCCTTGTTACGGTGTTAGATGCAGAAGCACTGCAGTATCTGAGAATGGGATCTAATGTCAACAGTGGTTTGGATTGACATTTACATGCAGTATGTAGGAGGTATTTAAATATCAGCTGCAGTGAACATGGGAACAAATGAAGGTTGGAAAAAAGATTATTCAGCAACTGCAACAGCAAGTAAAATGCGGTTTTCTGTTACCATTTCATTAGGGCTGAATGAGCCAAATTACACATCAACACCAATCAGTGATCGTGGATGTAGAGTTACATTTAGCATTTAAGCAAGAAGAGAAAAACATGATTGATAGGTCCAGATTTGTCCAGCCTACAGCAATATAAACACACAGTAAAAAAAGTATTTGATCTCATTCAGAAATAGAGACTATGTATTTTAAATATTCACTCCTGATGCCTGCAAAACCTTAACTTAATCACTGAAGAGAATTTTACATACTGTATTTTATGGCATATTTCTGTGGTTAAACCAAAAGTGTGCTGCGAACGCCACATTATTAAAGCAAAATGCTCCAGGTTTCTGTAAAGGAACTCTGTGCAACACATAAATTATTCAGGAGTATTTGCATTTGCATTGTAATTTGCATTCTTGTAGATTACAGAGAATGGAGAGGGAGGTGCTGCACCAAAGAGAATTACATTCTGAACCATTTTCTGTCCTACTGGTGAGAAGTTGACATGGATTTTTAGTTCTATTTTCCTCCACGGCTTCGAGGTATACTGCTGAGATCAGTGACACACATTTCAAACTGTTGTTTGATTAATAAAAGAAGGAAACAATGTGTAATGTTCACCAGCGCTCACACACAAAAAGCCCTGCCATTAAAAATGAATTGTGACATCCAACAATGAGTCTTTTTGATTGACGAGGCTGAGATTTTTTTACTGTAATATTCTCATCATCTTTATTTATATTGTAAGGCTCGCTAGTCGAAACTCAAAAGAACCAGTTGGCACGGAGGAGATGTCATATGGATTAAACACTAGGAAGGAGTGTGAAACTCTCACAGTACACTGAAGATTCTGCCTATTATGTTTCATCTAAAAATATCAAGCTTGACTAAAAAGAACAGACAACACTGAATAAGAAAAGGAGGGAAAAAAACACAAGCTCCAGAGAGAATAGAGTTCAAACAAGCAGCAGAGATAGTGCTGAGTGTGATATGGAATACAACAAGGAGAATGTACAGTATGAGACTCCATTCAATTATAAATGAAAAGGAAATCAGTGTGAAATATATGGAATAACCCAGATACTGAAATAAATCATTGTCTGTCTCTAGAGTCACTTTTGCGAAACGATATCCTGTTTTAAAATTTGTAATATTTTATGTGTCCTGATGTATTTTTTTTCTTGCTCGCGTGAATTCCTGCATCACTTTTAGCTTAATTGAATATACTGATGACATCATCGTTAGTAAACAGAAGATTGTTAATGAGATGCGTCCCAGGCTTTGGGGCAGAATGGTAATTCTTTAAACAAGGGGAAATGTGCAAGAGACTTGACTGAGACCGTGTTGAAGCACAGTCCTGCAGTGTGTGTGCCATGAGAGACTGGTACGATGCATCAAGGGGGTGGGGTAGGTATCCCTGCAATAAGAGAGGAGGGCTTAAACAATGGATGCGCATGTGCAAATGTTATAGCGTAGTCCTTATAGACCCACATGTTGATTTACATGCCACACTGTGTGTACAGGTACAAAAACAAATGCTCAAATTT